TCCCTAAGTCAGAGCCCCCCCCCCCAACCGGTCACTCCCTGGGGGTGGGGGGTCTCCCTCAGTCAGACGCCCCCCCCCAACGGTCACTCCCTGGGGGTAGGGGGTCCCCCTCAGTCAGAGCCCCCCCCAACGGTCACTTCCTGGGGGTGGGGGGTCTCCCTCAGTCAGAGCCCCCCCAACGGTCACTCCCTCGGCGTCTCCCTCAGTCACAGCCCTCTCCCCCCCAGGGTCACTCCCTGGGCTCCCTCATCGGGAGCCGCCTGGGGCCAGGAGACTGAAAGGCCCCTGGCCGGGGTTCTCCATTGTGTACTGAGCTATGCGAGAGCTGCCCCACCCCGACCAATCCCCCGCTGCTGGCCGGAGCCCCCAGGACCGGTCAGCGAGCGCGTGACCACCGCGCCCGCCTCCTCCGCACACAAACAAACCCACGTGAGGGGTCCGCTGCTCTCACGTGATCGGAGGGGGCGGGGCTGCTGGTGACGGACAAAGCGTGAGCCGGGCATGTTTGTCCCCTAGCCCCACCCCCTGGTGCTCTGCCCGAACCCCCGGCGGGAGCATGGCAGAGGCCGCAGCCCTGGACCCCCCGCTGCCCGGTAGGTGGCCCCGGCCGGCTGACGTGTGCGCTGCGGTGGGTGTACAGCCGGGCAAGGGTGCGGCTTGCTCGCAGCCCGCCCCGCTCGCAGAGCGCGCTGGCTGCCTGGTTCTGTCCTGGCCTTAGATCGTAGCCCGTTGTCCGGGCTCTGATCTGGCCCCCAGAGCTTGGGCAAGTGTGAAGTGCCTGGATGGGTCTTCAACACCCTCTTTGCAGACGAGGCGCTGGCGCTTTAGCGGCTCCCTCCCTCGCTTCCTGAACACGTGTGCACACACATGCACGGGTTGCTCCCAGCACTTCACAGTCTGGCCTCCCTTAACCTCAAGGCATGAGTTCAGTTCCGGTAAGTACCTCCGTGCTAGCAGGTCTCCGAGACGTGCATTCCTCTGCACTAGCAAACTCAGCCCCGCTTCAGTTCCACTGGGGGTAGCCAGCAGTGGAAGCTGAGGTGTAGACAGGTTTTGCCTCCTGTGGGGAGTCCTGTCTGCTGTACTGCATCCACCGTTCCTAACACCGCTGGAGCTGTACCCCTAAGGAATTACATCTACAAAGGTTACTGGTGCTGACAAGGCTGTTAATGTGTCATGTGCATGGTCCTTTACATTCGTGCCTCTGACGAGTCATTACTACTTAGGGCTTGGCTACAGCGCAGTAAAGGAGCCCCGGGCGCACTAGCTCACTACCCGTCCACACTGGCAAGGCACGTAAAGCACTCTGACCCCACGGCTACAACGCTGCTGGTGCTCCACCTTGGCAAGTGGAATAACATTTGCTGCATCCCCGCTGGAGTGCCACGGCGCCAGTGTGGACAAGATGTTGCATTACTGCGCTCTGATCAGCCTCTGGAAACATCCCATAATCCCCTTAAGTCAAGTGGCCACTCTTCTCATTGTTTTGAATCACTGTAGGAATTCGGATATGCCGTTTGAAAGCTCTGTTTCTGACAGCCGGCTGCTTATCTGCTCCGAAACAGATAAGTGTGCTCTGAGACAGATTAGTGTGGAATGCTGTGTGTGTGAGAGAGAGAGAGAGAGAGGCGGGGGGGAGGGAGCGTCTGCTGCTGTCTGAACTTACAAGACAGCATGCTGACATGCTCTCAGCCCCCCAAAAGCCCACTCTCTCCCCCGAAATACACACAACACACTCCCTGTCACACTCCACCAACCCCCATTTGAAAAGCACATTGCAGTCACTTGCATGCTGAGATAGCTGCCTATAATGCACCACTCCCAATGCCGCTGCAAGTGCCGCAAATGTGGCCATGCCAGTTCGCAAGCAGCTGTCAGTGTGGACTAGGGTGACCAGACAGCAAGTGTGAAAAATCGGGACAGAGGGTGGGGGTTAATAGGAGCCTATATAAGAAAAAGCCCCAAATATCAGGACTGTCCCTATAAAATCGGGACATCTGGTCACCCTAGTGTGGACAGACTGCAGCGCTTTCCCTACTGCGCTCTATGAAGGCGGGTTTAACTCACAGCGCTCTACATCTGCAAGTGTAGCCATGCCCTTTGATTTTAAAAAGGGGAAGAAAAACTAACAACAAAAGTAGGAAATTAACAGCCCAATGACATTAAACGCATTAAGGCTGTAAAATGTCAGGAAACACAGAAGTTAAAGTTCTCATAGTAACATTAACTTGCCCACATGAGTATCCACTTCATATTTCCAAGTTAAGATTTAAATTCATTGTATTTTTAAAATAAATTCTGTTTTTCTATTTGCTGTTTTCCAGCATTACAAATTATAGATTAAATCTTATTCTCTCTCTCCACTCACCCCTTGTATCCTTCTGTAAATTCCTCTGACTAATCTTCCACTGGCCCTTGGGATGTTGTGCATCATGCATCTTCCTTCTGCTCCTTCAGATCCCCACTCAAAGTCCACATTTCCCTCAACAATGACCGACACTCCCATGCCTAAAACACATATAATCTTTAAAGGAACCTCCTCAGTATGTATGGGTATCTTATTAGTACAAGCAACCTCATTATATGTACTTTGCATAAATCTCTCTGATCTGATATCACCTCTCCTTGACTTAAATGAGACTCCTTGTGATTCACCTATACAGATCCAATTGCAGGATCCAGGATTAAATTTGCTTTTGAGATGCTATAAAAGATGGTGTTGTGACAGGTCATCCACTTGCTACTTTTTTTCTTTAACGCAAAAGGAAACAAAGAGGTGGGAAAGAGATCTGGTTTCTGCTGGTGACTGCTAGATATGACTTGGATGGGCACAGTTCCACCAAATGTAAACTACCCTTATAGGCTGCTAGTATTGTTTTATAACAATGGTGGTCTAAATAAAAAAAATTAAATCCCCATTGAATGTTATGATATGGATTTACTTTTTTAAAAAACCTCAGATGAATTTACAGTCATCTGTCACGTGAGCTAAGCTCATTATAAACTATTATAATTTGAATAAATTGAAGAATATATTCAGTTCATTATGCCATAGATATCAATAGGTAATAGACTCTGTTTACCACATGCAATTATCATACAATTAATGGCTTATGCTGCACAGTATTCCAGTTTCTCTGAAAAATTATTTATTTCAAATTGGCTTCAGTTCTGTCACAATGATTGGAAATTTAATTGATAAATGGCAGTATGTTGAATTGGGGTAAGCTGGGTAGTAGGGTGCACCAGAATTTATCTCACTAATACATCTAAGCAGAACATCAATGAAATTCAAATGATACTTAACCCCTAATTCTGCAATTGGATCTGTGCAGGTGGATCCTTATGCCCTTATGGAGTCCCATGAAAGACTATGGGCACTGGCATAATGGTATGCCCATGCAGGTCTGATTTCAGGATTGGGGCCTAAACTAGGAATTACAAGCACCAGGGTGGATTGAAGAAAATTTATACCAACCTAAATAATTAGAAATATGGGCAAAAAATAAGAAAATGAGATTCCGTCTAGACAAATTCAGGCTAGTTCACCTGGGAAAATATAATTCACACACAGTTATTTAATAGGAGACATATGGATAATAGCAGAGAGTAAATAGATATGAACCTTAATGTGAAATGGCAGCAAAACTAGATCAGTCCAAATTCAGGCCTGGCTCAATTAAGTAGTGCGCAGAGGTATCAACCAAGATCAGTGCCTCATAGTGCGAGGTGCTTTACAAACACTAACACCTCACTATATTACAGCCGTGCCCCAGAGATCTTGCAATCTAGTATAACTACACTGCTACTGTAATTTCACTGACTCATTAAAGTAGTGCCAATGATAACGTGCTGTCAAATGCAAAAGATAAACAAAGGGGGGGGGGGAAAGAGATTTTTTTCCCCCTCTAACCTTTTTCAGTTATAGTAATCCTAGGTGTTTTTTATTACACTAATGAGTAGAAAATATAATTCATTCAGAAGTGTGACTTTTCAGTGCTCTTTAATGTTTAGTACAGTGATACTCAGACCTCTGTCATTCTGGAGCCAAATTAGCGATCAACATTACCCAAAAGAGCCACAGTATTGTGAATTCATTGTTTCATTTAATATTTTTATAGTTATAATATTTTCACAGCAAAATGACGGACCAAGGATTCTACAATTGGTTAATAACATCGTAAAAGCATCCCGATTGGCTAATAACTTAAATTGGTTAATAATTAATTCACTGTATTTTAATATCGTGTGCTGCAAAGAGTTACAGGAAACATATTAAAGAGCCACTTGCAGCTCCCAAGCCTCAGTCTGAGAATCACTGGTCTAATAAGTAAATACAATACTCCCCTGTTTTTACCATAGTGTAAAAAGGAAGACTCTGAATATATGTGAATAATTAATACAATAAATGCTCAGTAATTAATTCAAGCCTTCTCATCGTCTGACTGTTTTGGAGTATATTTTGACTCTCATACTGATCAGTAAGAACTGATATATTTTAAGCAAGAAACAGCAATAATAACAAAAAATGAGCAGCAGATATTAAAATAGATAATGTAACGCTATCTTTATTTACTATTGATTTCATATGATTAAAATGATTTATTTTAATTTTATTTGAAATCATTCCACCATATTTCATAGCACTAAAACAAATATGCAGATATTCCAGTGGTGGCATGACCTTTTCTAGCTATTTAATTAACACAGTAACATTTCACATGCATTTTTCTTGTTTGCAGGATTTCATACCATTTAAATTTGTTAATGTAAAGGAGCATTGCATTGTTGATAAACTGTTGGAAATCAAATTATCTGGCAGCTAACTGATTGCATTATTTCACTCATGGATATAACACTTCTCTAAATATGCTAATATCACTCTTTCCTCCATATGATGGCATTTTTCCCATTCTCATAACTGAC